TATATATATATATATATATATAATTTTGCAGCTATCATTTCATCGGTAGTCAACTTCGGCAACGTCAAAAAACTAACAGCTTTTTCCTTTTACGATGCGGGTGTATAGTATACTTTCACTCTTTTTGGCTCTTAATTGAGTTTAACCAAATTTTGAGATCCACTTCTTGGTAGTCCGAGGACAGCTGCCGGCGAGAAGTAAAGTATCCGATCTGTGCTCCAAGAGGTAAGCAAGTATCGATCTCTTACTTTCATAAGCCCCCGCTTCCCATCTGTTAGAGTACATGATATAGCTTCTGCTGGCATTTTTCAATATTTGCCTGGCGATTTCGGATATCTGCTGCAATTATCTGCTTGGATTCAGTTAAGAACTACTTCGGCCTGAGTATATGATGGAGATCTGCGAATTTGTGGAGAGAATCGTCTAGATCTATGCAGTTTTCTTCTGCGTCTATGCTTCTTTTGAGGTAATATTGGCGCTATTTCGGAATTCTCGAAAGCTCCCACGCTAGCTCTATTGTTTTCTGTGGAGGGTGTACAAATGGTGCTGTTATCTGGTTTTTAGTGCAACTTTTGAAATCTTTCAAGTTCTCTTATTTCTTTGGTCTGCTGGTTTATGCTTTATAAATTCTTTCTATAACCTGTCCTCTCTGTAAATGAAGAAATGTTTTGGAGTAGCTGATAAAGAGAGAACGCTAATCGGTTTCGTGGATTTGTGAGATGTGGGAATATAGATCTGTCATTTTACAAATTTTTATTTGATGTTACTATCAAAATTCCCCTTCTAGGAATCAATTAGCGCATGCAAATGAATAGAGGATGATTTATTAAATCCATATATAACATGATTTAATAGATTTATGAATTTATTTCTCTAAAAATTCTAAACCTTGAAGCAAATAGCCAAGCATATCCGGATGTAGCAAGTCTTAATAGTTGTCATGCCAACTGATTTTACTTTTTAATCTGCTCAAGATTTAATAAAGATGAATTTATAGGTCTTGCTAAATTCTATTTGAGTTAATTCCTGCCGGTAGCTAATTACCCCTTAGAATATGAAGGCCTATATTTCCACGTGAACATTAATTTGTTTTCTACGAGGAAAAAAAGACAATCATTAGCTAGTTCCTGCTTTAGGTTTTTTTCTGGTAATTAATGCTGGTCAGATCATCTTAATCCATTATGATTTTTTATTTATTTTCTTTAATGCCAGTTTAGTTATGTCAATGTTATATAATATTGTTCTTTATGCGCAAATTGACTATAGTTATAAGATGTTTTCAATAGTAAACCTAGCATAAAAATTGTAATTTATTGCCCTTCTTTTTTCCTTGGGTCTATTCACTTGTTGTAATCGGTGCAGTTGTGGGGGAGCTATGCTTTTAAAACTTGGTTAAAATGGTTTTGGACAAGAAATCTATGTGAAACCTGGCACAAAATGTTGATCTTTTGCTATTATGTGGACATTTGTGGTGACTTTGAGCTTTTTTTTTTATTAATGGCAGCATTAATTTAAGCATAAATGGGCAGAAACAGGCTGACACTGCTAGACAAGCCATGCACAACTAAATATGTTGACCTTACTTGGCTTTAAATGGCTTAATCATAAATGGAGAGGAGTCCTAGCTAGCTAACTTAAAGCTCAATAAGTGCTTTCAAATTTAATTCATATATTGCTTAGTACATTCTCCATATATATTAATATAAGATAGAGGCCAAAGCTAAACATTGATCAAAGATGGACTCTATCTCAATGGCAAGCTCCATTAAAGATTTAATTTTAATTGGTGATCAGTGTCTACATGTTGGAAACATGGGGGAATCTGTTATTGAAAAAATAACTTAGTAGATATTCAATATGCTAAGTTGTGGCTTGAATTATTTTAGTGTTCAAGGCACGAAGAGTGGAAAAGTGTTTATCAACTTAGTTTGGGGTATTTTTTGACATTCCAAGTATCATTATTTGATTTTGACATGTATTTTATCTTCTTAACTAAGAGTCCTATACAAATATGAGATTTTCTTCATGTATGTAGATTATTTATATGGTACTCTGCAGAAGGGTCATTTAAAATTTCATTCCTTATTATAGTTTCACTTTTTTAGTCTATGTGGTTGATTCTCTAGCACATTTATTCTTAGCAAGGTTTTTTCCCAACGAAAACAACGAAAATTCATACAGGAAGCAAGGAAGGCATTAACCTTATAATTTAAAATATTATCTATTTTTAATGTTGTTCCTTTTTATCTTCTAAATTTACGTTTGTAAGTCTACTTTAGAGCCGCGATTTTTGGCTTGCTTATCTCTCCTAAGAGGGTAGCCTATGTTATAATTGGCTGACACTCCTGGTAGGGCAGGCTATATAATAACTTTACCATTCTCACATACTCCTAATGCTAGAAATTGGCTTTTAGATAACTTAAGCTTACATCCTTCCTAGAAATTTTTGATTTAAGGGTTTTAAGTTTAGGAGGAATGAATAGTGACTTTATCTGGATTTCTAAAGTTTTGTAGATGTTCTCATGTGGATCACTCTGAGTTCCATGATTGAAGACTCATTATTCTCTCGATAACAATCTACTTAAGTTAAATGAAAGCATTAACCTTTTTTAAAATTAGTACCAAGACCGAGACCATGTTTTTTTGTCCATAATATTGATCCAAAAGCACTAACAGGATAACAAATTAGGATTTGACCGACATGTTGAGCATACGGGAAAAGATGATGGGGTTAATTGAACTCTTGTGTTCAGAGAAAGAAACAATTGTTTCATTTACATAAGAACTAGGTAAATGTGCAAGTGTAAGGTGACTATCTCTAGCTCTCCAACTCCAATAGTCTCTCTTTGAGAAATCTCCTATTCCCTCTTTGAAACTTCAAATATCAGAATTCAGAGGTGGAAGTGTCTCTCATTGATTGATGCTCAATCCTCCCCTTCCTTTGCTACACCCTAATAATGATAGGGGATGTCAGTCATACTTGAAATTGGGAATTTTTATCACGCGAAATTATGATTGCAAGTTTCAAGAAAGTGGTACTAATTTCATCATTGATTTTGTTCATTGTTGGAAGCTATGCTGACACCATAGCTGCTTGACAACAATATTCTTAGATACAAAGTTTTTATGATTACGAGTTCCCATACACACACACACACACACACACACACACACACACACACACACACACATATACATCTATCCATCCATCCATATAAATACATGTATGCATACACATGTATAGATGCATCCATCCATCCATATACATTCATAAATACATCCATCCATGTATAGATACATCGATCCATCAATATACATTCATACATACGTGCTGCCTACCGTCGGTCTTTGGTTGATAGAGTTTGTAAGACTCATGGGGTCACGTGTTCGATCCCGCCTATGCGTGGAATGAAATTCCTAGGCACATGAGGTTGGTACTAGCCAATATTTTCAAAAAAAAAAGAAAAGAAAAAAAACACATACATACACATATATATATATAAATACACACACACACAGATATATTCATTAAATGCCTTTATATATATATACACGCGCACATACACATATACATATAGATGGATAGATAGATTGATACATGTATTGACGTGAGTACATACATACATATATACGTATGAGTATACTTGTAGGTATATACGTGTACATATACATGTACATACATATGTATACACACATAATTGTAACACACTATATATATATATGTGTGTGTGCACTGGTTGGCTCAAAGGTTGGATATATACATATATATATATATATATATACATAAATATATATATAT